AAGCATACAGGCAAGATCCTAGACAGAACACTATCTCCCCGACATGCTGTGGCACAATCTGGTCTTTATCAAATCCAATTCAGTAAGCACAGATAATGCTGATCACTAGTACTTTGCCTTCTGTCTTTTCTTGGGCACAACTTCAAGGGTTTAGGTTGTTAAGTAGAGTCAACATGAACACCAAGAAAATGTGCTTGTCTGTGTCAGTTTTACTAAGAGTATGACAATATATTGGATCACAGAGCTCAAATAGGCTGTGTGACAGATGTTAACATAAGACAGTTGCTTCAAATAAAGAAACTTCAACATTAGACTACATCTGGGGCACATTATCAAAGGGATGAGAAATGTCCTGACTACTAATAAAGTAAAAGAAATATGGGATGTTCTGGTAAATTGTCTAAATTACATCAAAGTCATGCATCACTTTGGGAGTAATAGCAGTCAACATGACATGAGACAAGTCCGTTCTCATCTCATCTGAAAGGTATGAAAACAACAGATGGGAACTCAAGAACATGTGAGGCAGAACTTCACATGTCCAATATTATTTATGATCTGACTCCATCTGGTCTGCTTGTATAATATGTTATAAGTTTCATCCTAACAATGTTCTATTTAATGGCCCTTTCACACTTCTGAAGACTTTACCCTGTTCACATTAATACACGTGTATTCTTGAGTTGAGGGGTATTGCATTAAGGGATAAGTTCACCTTTGGGAACATGTTACATGTTTTCACTCATTTTTAGGGTGGAATATGTAACATGTTCTCGCTCCCGCAGATGCTCCCTGCACTCCCTATGACAGCAATTTGGGGATCTTCGCCCTGCACCTGCTGTCACTAATTGAAAAGAGTGCGGCCATGCAGGACTCCACCCATGCGACTGTGTCATTCATTCAGAGTTCTGTGAACGAAGGAACTATAAGTGCCGACAGCCATGGCTGTTGGCTTGTACCTGCCACGGTGCAGTTGAGCACTCTAGGTAGATCATTGAGGCTTCCTGTCAGTGTGTAACTGCCTGCCTTATAAAAGGTACAAGCACAACAGATTACATTGAAAGTTTTGAAGAGCACCGCATTGCACCCACCTATCTGCTGATTGCGGGTGCAATGCTTTCCAGGCTCCCATTTAAAAAAAAACAAAATTATGCAATTTTTTTTTATACCTGCAAAAAGATGTGCATTTATTATTTTTTTTTAAAGGTAAACTTATCCTTTTTCATTTTGCAAAGACTGTCAAAGCAACGGTCAGTGCAAAAAGGGACCTGCATTAACTTTGGCAACACAAGACACCATAGAACAAGATTTATCACATTTGAGCATTGTGGTGCACTATTGCAGAGATACATTTTGTTTTAGTGTCAATGTACATTGGATGTGTCATTCATTCTAAATGGCAATTCATCTCAAAGCACAGAAAATGTGTGCTGCTATAACATTTTTAATGCACATTATCACAAACGTAAAAGGTGTCGCGTCAATGCAATAGGAGTGCTTTTCCTCACACCCAGTTTGCCACATATGGCATACATGCATGTGCAGCACTCACAGTTCGATTTTTTCCCCATCACAGTAATGTGCATGCATTCTCCCACCTGTGAGCTACACAAAGGCCACGGGTGAATTTGTGTATGCTTACATGCAGCAGCAATTTTCAAGGGTCAGCTCGTCTGCCTTCAGTGATGAATAATTGGTTCCTAATATAGTATTGAATAAAGCTGGCTACCTGTGTGTGAAAATTATAAGGAAGGGACTTCAGAAGGGATGGCCACAAAGGGGCCCCTGTTTATTTACTAAAACTGGAGAGTGCAAAATCTGGTGTAGCTGTGCATGGTAGCCAATCAACTTCTAACTTGTTCAGTTAAATGTTGCACCAGAATTTATTTACTCTCCAGTTTTAGTAAATCAAATATAAAACCCAAAAAGTGTTTTGAAGGGTCTTTGGAAAGAATGGGCATAAAAAGATCATATACTGCACCAGGGGCGAACTGACAACTCATGGGGCCCCCAGGCAATAGGGGATAATGAGGCCCCTGTGTCCTTGCCCAAAACTCAAAAGCCTATGAAAAAGGTACCAGGGGCATCTCATGGGCTTTACCGAAAAGCCCCTACTGACCCCAGAAGGCCTCGGGCAGTGCTCGAGTTTCTAAATGGTCAGTCCGCCCCTGACTGTACAGAAAACTTTTAGCCTGCCAGTGAAATCAATAGAGCACCAGCAGCAAGCTACCTCAATTCACTACTTATAATCAATTATAAATAGAAAAAACAGTTTAACCACATTTTTTTTTATTTTGGTTTGTTACAGTCCATGCTTAGTGTTACTATTGTTAAGTATTATTACATCTATATTAATGAATACGAGAGAAGGAAGAAGCTAATTTGGATTTTGCAGCATTTACGTGTTATAACTTGCAAGCTTGTTTAACAATATTTCTCTTTACACATGTTACACATGTTCATCAAAAAGCCATTCACTGGATAGCCTTTAAAATGAGATATTCTTTGCTTTATATATTCCTACTTGATCATTCAAATAGGCAACATCTGAGAACTAGACCGCTCTGCTAACAGATGATGGGCCTCGGGAGTAGCATGGTCCATTCAAGCTTCATTTTTATTTCAGCAGTTTAAAAGATACGCTGTCCTTTGATCACGATTCCTAAAGTATACTGCAAAGTAAGCTGCTGCAGTTTATTTTTCTGTTTAGCTTCATATTTCTTGCAGCAGTTCTGTATTTTATAACCACTGGGGCTAACTTTGTAGACTTTCGATAAGTATAGCAAGTACATGGGCACTTTTTATCTTACAAAAAAATAAATTAGCTTGGTTTGATAGGTATGTGTGAAGGGCTTTCAAGAGCAGATTGTACACTATGTCAGGGCTGAAACTGTGTATGCATAGTGGAGTTATGAATATACCAAGCAACTAAAATGAATGGTGTCAAAGAATGTGCAAACAAGTTAACCTATTGTATTTAGTCTTTAATCTATTTATAGAAGATTTGTGTGAATAATGCCTATATAAAAAAACTGACTTTTTAATAATGAAAGCTACACCGCTCCAAGCTATGAATGGATGCAAAAGGATCACCCCACCGGTAAGTGAGAAGAGGGGAGCATAAGCCCGAGCATTTCTAGTGTCAGTCAATATAAATTAAGGGATGGAAGCTTCTCAACCGACCCCAGGAGTCCAATGTTGAGGAATGGCCTCAGCCGCCATTATAGCCATGCCATCTGACATATTTGCCCTGCCCACCTGGGCTTGGTCACAGAGGTACCACCGCTGTGCTTCTTTAGGGTTCATATAAAAATAAAAATCCTTTCATTTACATTCCTCTGAATTTGACTGGGTATTCAAAATAAACACACAATTACTTAGCTAAAAGAAATGTTTTCCTTCTTGCAGAGATTTACGTCAACTCTTGGTTGAGGGAGATAATGTTTTTGAATTGGTTGTTGATTTCTGCAACTGTATATCATTTCCCCTTATTGTGACAGACAGATATTGACTAAATATTTTTGCAGGTTGGAGCCAAGAGGATCATTGATGCTAACAACTAATGATGGGCCGGACACACCTGGGTTTAGTTTTTGGAAGTTTAGCTGAACATATCAAAAGTTTGAAATCAATCAGAGCAGAATCTGTCAAATCATTTATGGACCTTTGAAAAAACCTGCTTGGAGGGTCCCCTAAACCTGAATTATTTACAAATTATTTACAAAATAAAAGAGACTTGCAGGGAAAAGAAAGAAAATAGCTTTTTGTCTATGTAAATTTTGCTATACATTTAAAAAAGACTTTTGGAACTGATGAGGATTTTATGGGAGAAACCTGCTCAAAAAATGGTGTGGGTACCTCTCCCAATCCATACCAGACCCGCAACATCAGGGGGTGCCCATGTTGATGAAGACAAAGGACTCTTCACATATTGATAAGGCCAAGGGTCTCTTCCCCACAACCCTGACTCGATGGTTGATGAGGTGGGGGCAGGGCTTATCGGCAATGATGTCTGAAGGTTGTCTAAAGGAAAAATCTGTTGATAAGGCCAACACCTCCTCTTATGCCACACATGACAGCTCTACAGAGCCATGACCATATTTGGTCAGTGATGTCAGCACCATCCCATCCCTTTGCTTGTATGGCCAGGGATTCCCGGTCATATGTAAATGAATGGGGCTGGTGACAATACTGGTTATTAAGGACTTGGTGGCGCCTGCTCCTGCTGGAGTCCTTAAGAGCCTTGAAACAGCAGGATACTGTCGTGTAAAATATTGGTAGTATTGCCAGTATTATACATGATGTTTGGCATTCATCTAAACGCAACTTGCGTTCAAACCAAACCTTAAAGGGGAACTTCATTCTCTTAAATCAACATTGCCTATAGCAAGGGTACTGAACTAAAATTCACGGAAGGGCCGGTTGGTAACATTTTCTTCCAGCAGAGGTCCAAATCTCATTTTTCTTCTATTACTGAGGTCCTTCACATCACAGCCCCTAATTAATGTCCTCCTCCTCCCTTTCTCATCACAGCCCCCCGTACATCACAACTCCCTTTTTCACGTTAGAGCCCCCCCCAACATTATAGCCCTGCTTACATCACAGCCCCCTTAATAGCACAGTCTCTCCTTGACATCACAGTCCCCCTTGCAATCACAACCACCCACATCACAGTTTCCCCCTGCTGACATCACATACCCTTCATATCACAGCTCCCTCCTCTCACATCACAGCCCCCATATCACAGCTTCCCCCTCTCATAGCCCCCCCCCACATCACAGCTTGCCTACATCAGAGCTCCCCCATATCACAGTTCCCCCTCTCACAGCCCCCCCCATATCACAGATCCCCCCCCCTGACATCACAACTAGAGATGAGCGAAGTATTCAAAAATTCGATTCGACTGATTCGGCGAATTCGTGGAAAATATTCGATTTGAGTCGAATATATTCGCTGTGAATTTAACTTAAAAAAGGGTGTTTCTAGGCTTCAGAGAGACTTAATATTAGTGCAGAACACTGTACCTTTAATTTAAATGCCCTTGGAGTCTGCTGGGGAAGAGAAATAATACTGTCAGTCAGTATGACATGCAGATGAGTGCCGTCGATCTTAGAATCACCGCACACTTCACACATTTGGGCAGTCACGGGGCCAAAACCAGTGTTTGGAGCCACAGTGTGGCGGTGGAGGCAGCAGCAATGGGAGGCCATACAGCAACCTATGACAAAATGGAAACCAGCAGGAGTGTGAGGAGACCTCAAAGTGGCACATGGCAGAGTGGGAGCAATGGGAGGCGGTACAGGGACCCATGTCACACTGTGGACGCAGCAGCAGCGTGACCAGGCGGTACGGAGGCCCATGGCAGATTACAGGCCTGGCAGCAGCAATGGGAGGCCCGTAATCTGTCAGCACCCTATGACAAAATGGAACTCACCAGCAGTGTGAGGAGACCTGAAAGTGGCACATGGCAGAGTGTGGCGATGGAGACAGCAGCAATGGGAGGCCGTACAGGGACCCATGACAGACTCTGGACTTGGCAGCAGCATGAGGAGGCGGTATATAGGGGCCCATGGCAGATTAGGGGCCTGGCAGCAGCTATGGGAGGCCCGTAATCTGCCAGCACCCTATGTCAAAAAATTAAACACACCAGCAGTGTGTGAGGAGACCTGAAAGTGGCACATGGCAGAGTGTGGCGATGGAGACAGCAGCAATGGGAGGCCGTACAGGGACCCATGACAGACTCTGGACTTGGCAGCAGCATGAGGAGGCGGTATATAGGGGCCCATGGCAGATTAGGGGCCTGGCAGCAGCTATGGGAGGCCCGTAATCTGCCAGCACCCTATGTCAAAAAATTCAACACACCAGCAGTGTGAGGAGACCTGAAAGTGGCACATGGCAGAGAGTGGCGATGGAGACAGCAGCAATGGGAGGCCATACAGGGAACCATGACAGACTCTGGACTTGGCAGCAGCATGAGGAGGCGGTATAGGGGCCCATGGCAGATTAGGGGCCTGGCAGCAGCTATGGGAGGCCCGTAATCTGCCAGCACCCTATGACAAAAAATGGAACACACCAGCAGTGTGAGGAGACCTGAAAGTGGCACATGTTTGGGGCATGATTCATGGCGGATTTAGTCAGTTGTGTCAGGAACTGTGGTTTGAAATCCAGACTAATCCACGCCTGATTCATTTTCACAAACGTGAGTCTCTCCACACTTTGGGTGGACAGTCGTGTCCTCCGCGGAGTTGCAATACCTCCTGCCGCACTAAACACGCGCTCCGATGCCACGCTACTGGCCGGGCATGACAGCCTTTCAAGGGCAAATTCAGCTAGTTGGGGCCAAAGGTCAAGTTTCGTTGCCCAGTAGTCAAGGGGATTGTCTACCTCGGTTGGCAGGGTGCTGTCCAAGTAGGCCTAAGCCTGTTGTTTGAGGTCCTGCTCCAGGTCCCACCTGATGCTGCTGCTGCTGCGGCTGGTTATTAGTTTCCTCACTGCTGCGCTGGTGAAGAAAGCTACTCATCATCGACTGCAGACTGAGGCAGCTGCTGCTGGTGGAGCTGCCACTGCTCCTACCACCCCACCCCTCCCCTGCTGCCATGGCAGCGTAACGCGAGCGCACAGGGCCCACAGTGTCTGAGGATGGACGTTGGCACAGACAGGCAGAGACCAGCTGACTACATAGGTGGTTTTTATAGTACGTTATTTTGGCCTCCCTCTCAGCAGGTGTGAAAAAGGCCACCATTTTGGAACGGTAGCGAGGGTCCAACAAGGTGGACAGCCAAAAGTCATCCCTCTGTCTGATGGTTATTATTCGGCTGTCGGTACACAAGCAAGCGAGCATGCTATGGGCCATTTGTGCCAAGGAATGCGAGGGACTCCCTGCCTCCATCTCCACAGCATACTGCCACGGTGCGTGTGGGTCCTCTGTCTCCTCTTCCTCCTCCTCTACCAGATGCTCCTGCTCCTCCACTCCTGTCCGCTGAGTGGAAAAACCACCCATTTCACTCAATAATTCCTGAGCACCAATGTCCTCCTCTACCTCCTCCTCTTCTTCCTGTCCTGCCCCCACATGGGTCATGTGGCGTTGAGATCTGTGCGCCACGTCTACCGCACCCTGACCAGCCATTATTAACAGCATTTGTTCCAGGACGTGCAACAGAGGAATGACGTCGTTCATCCCATAGTCCTGCCGACTCACGAATAGCGTGGCCTCCTCAAAGGGTCTGAGCAAGCGCAGGTGTCACGCATGAGCTGCCAATGGTTGACATCTAAGTTACACAGGGAGTACCTTTATCCGCTTTTAACATCAGGAAATCTGTGATGGCCTTTTGCTGTTCGTAAAGGCGGTCTAACATATGTAGGGTTGAATTCCATCTTGTTGCAACGTCACAGCATGAGGAGTCGGTACGGGGGCCCATGGCAGATTACGGGCCTGGCAGCAGCAATGGGAGGCCCGTAATCTGCCAGCACCCTATGTCAAAAAATTCAACACACCAGCAGTGTGAGGAGACCTGAAAGTGGCACATGGCAGAATGTGGCGATGGAGACAGCAGCAATGGGAGGCCGTACAGGGACCCATGACAGACTCTGGACTTGGCAGCAGCATGAGGAGGCGGTATATAGGGGCCTATGGCAGATTAGGGGCCTGGCAGCAGCTATAGGAGGCCCGTAATCAGCCAGCACCCTATGTCAAAAAATTCAACACACCAGCAGTGTGAGGAGACCTGAAAGTGGCACATGGCAGAGTGTGGCGATGGAGACAGCAGCAATGGGAGGGCCGTACAGGGACCCATGACAGACTCTGGACCTGGCAGCAGCATGAGGAGGCGGTATATAGGGGCCTATGGCAGATTAGGGGCCTGGCAGCAGCTATAGGAGGCCCGTAATCTGCCAGCACCCTATGTCAAAAAATTCAACACACCAGCAGTGTGAAGAGAATTGAATGTGGCACATGGCAGAGTGTGGCGATGGAGACAGCAGCAATGGGAGGCCGTACAGGGACCCATGAGAGACTCTGGACTTTGCAGCAGCATGAGGAGGCGGTATATAGGGGCCTATGGCAGATTAGGGGCCTGGCAGCAGCTATAGGAGGCCCATAATCTGCCAGCACCCTATGTCAAAAAATTCAACACACCAGCAGTGTGAGGAGACCTGAAAGTGGCACATGGCAGAGTGTGGCGATGGAGACAGCAGCAATGGGAGGCCGTACAGGGACCCATGAGAGACTCTGGACTAGGCAGCAGCATGAGGAGGCGGTATATAGGGGCCTATGGCAGATTAGGGGCCTGGCAGCAGCTATAGGAGGCCCGTAATCTGCCAGCACCCTATGTCAAAAAATTCAACACACCAGCAGTGTGAGAGACCTGAAATGTGGCACATGGCAGAGTGTGGCGATGGAGACAGCAGCAATGGGAGGCCGTACAGGGACCCATGAGAGACTCTGGACTTGGCAGCAGCATGAGGAGGCGGTATATAGGGGCCTATGGCAGATTAGGGGCCTGGCAGCAGCTATAGGAGGCCCGTAATCTGCCAGCACCCTATGTTAAAAAATTCAACACACCAGCAGTGTGAGGAGACCTGAAAGTGGCACATGGCAGAGTGTGGCGATGGAGACAGCAGCAATGGGAGGCCGTACAGGGACCCATGACAGACTCTGGACCTGGCAGCAGCATGAGGAGGCGGTATATAGGGGCCTATGGCAGATTAGGGGCCTGGCAGCAGCTATAGGAGGCCCGTAATCTGCCAGCACCCTATGTCAAAAAATTCAACACACCAGCAGTGTGAGGAGACCTGAAGTGGCACATGGCAGAGTGTGGCGATGGAGACAGCAGCAATGGGAGGCCGTACAGGGACCCATGAGAGACTCTGGACTTGGCAGCAGCATGAGGAGGCGGTATATAGGGGCCTATGGCAGATTAGGGGCCTGGCAGCAGCTATAGGAGGCCCGTAATCTGCCAGCACCCTATGTCAAAAAATTCAACACCACCAGCAGTGTGAGGAGACCTGAAAGTGGCACATGGCAGAGTGTGGCGATGGAGACAGCAGCAATGGGAGGCCGTACAGGGACCCATGAGAGACTCTGGACTTGGGGGCTGGCAGCAGCATGAGGAGGCGGTATATAGGGGCCTATGGCAGATTAGGGGCCTGGCAGCAGCTATGGGAGGCCCGTAATCTGCCAGCACCCTATGTCAAAAAATTCAACACACCAGCAGTGTGTGAGGAGACCTGAATGTGGCACATGGCAGAGTGTGGCGATGGAGACAGCAGCAATGGGAGGCCGTACAGGGACCCATGAGAGACTCTGGACTAGGCAGCAGCATGAGGAGGCGGTATATAGGGGCCTATGGCAGATTAGGGGCCTGGCAGCAGCTATAGGGGGCCCGTAATCTGCCAGCACCCTATGTCAAAAAATTCAACACACCAGCAGTGTGAAGAGACCTGAATGTGGCACATGGCAGAGTGTGGCGATGGAGACAGCAGCAATGGGAGGCCGTACAGGGACCCATGAGAGACTCTGGACTTGGCAGCAGCATGAGGAGGCGGTATATAGGGGCCTATGGCAGATTAGGGGCCTGGCAGCAGCTATGGGAGGCCCGTAATCTGCCAGCACCCTATGTCAAAAAAAATTCAACACACCAGCAGTGTGAGGAGACCTGAAAGTGGCACATGGCAGAGTGTGGCGATGGAGACAGCAGCAATGGGAGGCCGTACAGGGACCCATGACAGACTCTGGACTTGCAGCATCATGAGGAGGCGGTATATAGGGGCCTATGGCAGATTAGGGGCCTGGCAGCAGCTATAGGAGGCCCGTAATCTGCCAGCACCCTATGTCAAAAAATTCAACACACCAGCAGTGTGTGAGGAGACCTGAAAGTGGCACATGGCAGAGTGTGGCGATGGAGACAGCAGCAATGGGAGGCCGTACAGGGACCCATGAGAGACTCTGGACCTGGCAGCAGCATGAGGAGGCGGTATATAGGGGCCTATGGCAGATTAGGGGCCTGGCAGCAGCTATGGGAGGCCCGTAATCTGCCAGCACCCTATGACAAAAAATGGAACACACCAGCAGTGTGTGAGGAGACCTGAAAGTGGCACATGTTTGAGGCATGATTCATGGCGGATTTAGTCAGTTGTGTCAGGAACTGGTGGTTTGAAATCCAGACTAATCCACGCCTGATTCATTTTCACAAACGTGAGTCTCTCCACACTTTGGGTGGATCAGTCGTGTCCTCCGCGGAGTTACAATACCTCCTGCCGCACTAAACACGCGCTCCGATGCCACGCTACTGGCCGGGCATGACAGCCTTTCAAGGGCAAATTCAGCTAGTTGGGGCCAAAGGTCAAGTTTCGTTGCCCAGTAGTCAAGGGGATTGTCTACCTCGGTTGGCAGGGTGCTGTCCAAGTAGGCCCAAGCCTGTTGTTTGAGGTCCTGCTCCAGGTCCACCTGATGCTGCTGCTGCTGCTGCTGCTGCGGCTGGTTAGTAGTTTCCTCACTGCGCTGGTGAAGAAAGCTACTCATCATCGACTGCAGACTGAGGCAGCCGCTGCTGGTGGAGCTGCCACTGCTCCTACCACCCCACCCCTCCCCTGCTGCCATGGCAGCGGAACGCGAGCGCACAGGGCCCACAGTGTCTGAGGATGGACGTTGGCGCACAAAGGCAGAGACCAACTGACTACATAGGTGGTTTTTATAGTACGTTATTTTGGCCTCCCTCTCAGCAGGTGTGAAAAAGGCCACCATTTTTGAACGGTAGCGAGGGTCCAACAAGGTGGACAGCCAAAAGTCATCCCTCTGTCTGATGGTTATTATTCGGCTGTCGGTACACAAGCAAGCGAGCATGCTATGGGCCATTTGTGCCAAGGAATGCGAGGGACTCCCTGCCTCCATCTCCACAGCATACTGCCACGGTGCGTCTGGGTCCTCTGTCTCCTCCTCCTCCTCCTCTACCAGATGCTCCTGCTCCTCCACTCCTGTCCTGCTGAGTGGAAAAACCACCCATTTCACTCAATAATTCCTGAGCACAAATGTCCTCCTCTACCTCCTCCTCTTCTTCCTGTCCTGCCCCCACAGGGGTCATGTGGCGTTGAGATCTGTGCGCCACGTCTACCGCACCCTGACCAGCCATTGTTAACAGCATTTGTTCAAGGACGTGCAACAGAGGAATGACGTCGTTCATCCCATAGTCCTGCCGACTCACGAATAGCGTGGCCTCCTCAAAGGGCCTGAGCAAGCGGCAGGTGTCACGCATGAGCTGCCAATGGCTGACATCGAAGTTACAAAGGGGAGTACCTTTATCCGCTTGTAACATCAGGAAATCGGTGATGGCCTTTTGCTGTTCGTAAAGGCGGTCTAACATGTGTAGGGTTGAATTCCACCTTGTTGCAACGTTGCAGATCAGGCGATGCTGTGCAATTCCGTTCTGCCGCTGCAGCTCAAGGAGGGTGTGCTTTGCGGTGTAGGAATGGCTGAAATGCATGCAAAGTTTACGTGACATTTTAAGGATGTCTTGCAGTGGGATGGTGGATTTTAGGAACCGCTTGACAACCAGATTGAACACGTGAGCCATGCATGGCGCATGGCACAACCTTACTTGACGCAGAGCAGACACCATGCTCTTTCCGTTGTCGGTCAACATGGTTCCGATTTTCAGTTTGCGCGGAGGAGACAGCCATCTGTCGATTTCTCTGTTCATTACACTGAGAAGCTCCTCCCCTGTGTGACTACGTTCGCCTGGACCTGGCAGCAGCATGAGGAGGCGGTATAGGGGCCCATGGCAGATTAGGGGCCTGGCAGCAGCTATGGGAGGCCCGTAATCTGCCAGCACCCTATGTCAAAAAATTGAACACAACAGCAGTGTGTGAGGAGACCTGAAAGTGGCACATGGCAGAGTGTGGCGATGGAGACAGCAGCAACGGGAGGCCGTACAGGGACCCATGACAGACTCTGGACTTGGCAGCAGCATGAGGATGCGGTATATAGGGGCCCATGGCAGATTAGGGGCCTGGCAGCAGCTATGGGAGGCCCGTAATCTGCCAGCACCCTATGTCAAAAAATTCAACACACCAGCAGTGTGAAGAGACCTGAATGTGGCACATGGCAGAGTGTGGCGATGGAGACAGCAGCAATGGGAGGCCGTACAGGGACCCATGACAGACTCTGGACCTGGCAGCAGCATGAGGAGGCGGTATATAGGGGCCCATGGCAGAAAAGGGGCCTGGCAGCAGCTATGGGAGGCCCGTAATCTGCCAGCACCCTATGTCAAAAAATTGAACACACCAGCAGTGTGAGGAGACCTGAAAGTGGCACATGGCATGAGAGACTGTTGACCTGGCAGCAGCATGAGGAGGCGGTATAGGGGCCCATGGCAGATTAGGGGCCTGGCAGCAGCTATGGGAGGCCCGTAATCTGCCAGCACCCTATGTCAAAAAATTGAACACAACAGCAGTGTGTGAGGAGACCTGAAAGTGGCACATGGCAGAGTGTGGCGATGGAGACAGCAGCAATGGGAGGCCGTACAGGGACCCATGACAGACTCTGGACTTGGCAGCAGCATGAGGAGGCGGTATATAGGGGCCCATGGCAGATTAGGGGCCTGGCAGCAGCTATGGGAGGCCCGTAATCTGCCAGCACCCTATTCAAAAAATTCAACACACCAGCAGTGTGAAGAGACCTGAATGTGGCACATGGCAGAGTGTGGCGATGGAGACAGCAGCAATGGGAGGCCGTACAGGGACCCATGACAGACTCTGGACCTGGCAGCAGCATGAGGAGGCGGTATATAGGGGCCCATGGCAGATTAGGGGCCTGGCAGCAGCTATGGGAGGCCCGTAATCTGCCAGCACCCTATGTCAAAAAATTGAACACACCAGCAGTGTGAGGAGACCTGAAAGTGGCACATGGCATGAGAGACTGTGGACCTGGCAGCAGCATGAGGAGGCGGTATAGGGGCCCATGGCAGAATAGGGGCCTGGCAGCAGCTATGGGAGGCCCGTAATCTGCCAGCACCCTATGTCAAAAAATTGAACACAACAGCAGTGTGTGTGAGGAGACCTGAAAGTGGCACATGGCAGAGTGTGGCGATGGAGACAGCAGCAACGGGAGGCCGTACAGGGACCCATGACAGACTCTGGACTTGGCAGCAGCATGAGGAGGAGGCGGTATATAGGGGCCCATGGCAGATTAGGGGCCTGGCAGCAGCTATGGGAGGGCCCGTAATCTGCCAGCACCCTATGTCAAAAAATTCAACACACCAGCAGTGTGTGAGGAGACCTGAAAGTGGCACATGGCAGAGTGTGGCGATGGAGACAGCAGCAATGGGAGGCCGTACAGGGACCCATGACAGACTCTGGACCTGGCAGCAGCATGAGGAGGCGGTATATAGGGGCCCATGGCAGATTAGGGGCCTGGCAGCAGCTATGGGAGGCCCGTAATCTGCCAGCACCCTATGTCAAAAAATTGAACACACCAGCAGTGTGAGGAGACCTGAAAGTGGCACATGGCATGAGAGACTGTGGACCTGGCAGCAGCATGAGGAGGCGGTATAGGGGCCCATGGCAGATTAGGGGCCTGGCAGCAGCTATGGGAGGCCCGTAATCTGCCAGCACCCTATGTCAAAAAATTCAACACACCAGCAGTGTGTGAGGAGATCTGAAAGTGGCACATGGCAGAGTGTGGCGATGGAGACAACCCACCGACTGTTTTGCTCGCTGCCAAGCTGCCACCCTCTTCTCCTGATGATGCGGAAGCAATAGCCTGATGGCGACGAGGCTGCCAAGTGCGATCAGCCTCATCATCATCAATTAGGATCTCCGCCTCACTACTAGCCTCCTCGGCTGCGTGTGGGTCAGGAGACAGACCTGTCTCTACACCGGCTACCGAGCCACTCTCCTCGCCACTACTTCTTCGCCTGGCTGCTGAAGAGGCGGATGTCTCCCCCCGTTCCTGACCGCCCTCTGTTAGCTCTTCCTCACTGTACTGGATGACACCGGGAGCACTAGCCTCTGGCTGCGAATAGTGCTGCCTCGACCCCTTCCTCTGCTGCCACGTCTGCTCGCTCCTAAAACATTGCCTCCTCTGCCACTCCTCTGCATGTTGTCTGACATACTCTTTAATTAAACGATTCTGTGTCCCTGAGTAACAATTCTGTGTCCCTGAGTAACGTTTCTGTGGCCCTAAGTAACGGTTCTGTGGCCCTCAGTAACAATTCTGTGTCCCTCAGTAACAATTCTGTGTCTGTCCCTGAGTAACAATTCTGTGTCCCTGAGTAACGTTTCTGTGGCCCTAAGTAACATTTCTGTGGCCCTAAGTAACATTTCTGTGGCCCTAAGTAACATTTCTGTGGCCCTAAGTAACATTTCTGTGGCCCTCAGTAACAATTCTGTCTGTCTGTCCCTGAGTAACAATTCTGTGTCCCTCAGTAACAATTCTGTGTCCCTCAGTAACAATTCTGTGTCCCTGAGTAACAATTCTGTGTCTGTCCCTGAGTAAGAATTCTGTGTCTGTCCCTGAGTAAGAATTCTGTGTCTGTCCCTGAGTAACGTTTCTGTGGCCCTCAGTAACAATTCTGTGTCCCTCAGTAACCTGAGTAACAATTCTGTCTCTGTCCCTGAGTAACAATTCTGTGGCCCTAAGTAACGGTTCTGTGGCCCTCAGTAACAATTCTGTGTCCCTGAGTAACGTTTCTGTGGCCCTAAGTAAAGGTTCTGTGGCCCTCAGTAACAATTCTGTGTCCCTCAGTAACAATTCTGTGTCTGTCCCTGAGTAACAATTCTGTGGCCCTAATTAACGGTTCTGTGGCCCTCAGTAACAATTCTGTGTCCCTGAGTAACAATTATGTGGCCCTAAGTAACGTTTCTGTGGCCCTAAGTAACAGTTCTGTGGCCCTCAGTAACAATTCTGTGTCCCTGAATAACGTTTATGTGGACCTAAGTAACGGTTCTGTGGCCCTCAGTAACAATTCTTCTGTGTCCCTGATTAACGTTTCTGTGGCCCTAAGTAACGGTTCTGTGGCCCTCAGTAACAATTGTGTCCCTCAGTAACAATTCTGTGTTTGTCCCTGAGTAACAATTCTGTGGCCCTAAGTAACGGTTCTGTGGCCCTCAGTAACAATTCTGTGTCCCTGAGTAACGTTTCTGTGGCCCTAAGTAACGGTTCTGTGGCCCTCAGTAACAATTCTGTGTCCCTGAGTAACAATTCTGTGTCTGTCCCTGAGTAACAATTCTGTGTCTGTCCCTGAGTAACAATTCTGTGGCCCTAAGTAACGGTTCTGTGGCCCTCAGTAACAATTCTGTGTCCCTCAGTAACAATTCTGTGTCCCTCAGTAACAATTCTGTGTCTGTCCCTGAGTAACAATTCTGTGGCCCTAAGTAATGGTTCTGTGGCCCTCAGTAACAATTCTGTGTCCCTGAGTAACAATTATGTGGCCCTAAGTAACAGTTCTGTGTCCCTCAGTAACAATTCTGTGTCCCTCAGTAACAATTCTGTGTCTGTCCCTGAGTAACAATTCTGTGGCCCTAACTAACGTTTCTGTGGCCCTAAGTAACAGTTCTGTGGCCCTCAGTAACAATTCTGTGTCCCTGAATAACGTTTATGAGGACCTAAGTAACGGTTCTGTGGCCCTCAGTAACACAATTCTGTGTCCCTGATTAACGTTTCTGTGGCCCTAAGTAACGGTTCTGTGGCCCTCAGTAACAATTCTGTGTCCCTCAGTAACAATTCTGTGTCTGTCCCTGAGTAACAATTCTGTGGCCCTAAGTAACGGTTCTGTGGCCCTCAGTAACAATTCGGTGTCTGTCCCTGAGTAACAATTCTGTGGCCCTAAGTAAAGGTTCTGTGGCCCTCAGTAACAATTCTGTGTCCCTGAGTAACGTTTCTGTGGCCCTAAGTAACAATTCTGTGGCCCTCAGTAACAATTCTGTGTCTGTCCCTGAGTAACAATTCTGTGTCCCTAACTAACGTTTCTGTGGCCCTAAGTAACAGTTCTGTGGCCCTCAGTAACAATTCTGTGTCCCTGAGAGTAACGTTTCTGTGGCCCTAAGTAACAATTCTGTGTCCCTGAGTAACAATTCTGTGGCCCTAAGTAACGGTTCTGTGGCCCTCAGTAACAATTCTGTGTCCCTGAGTAACAATTCTGTGGCCCTAAGTAACGGTTCTGTGGCCCTCAGTAACAATTCTGTGTCCCTGAGTAACAATTCTGTGTCTGTCCCTGAGTAACAATTCTGTGGCCCTAAGTAACGGTTCTGTGGCCCTCAGTAACAATTCTGTGTCCCTGAGTAACAATTCTGTGGCCCTAAGTAACGGTTCTTTGGCCCTCAGTAACAATTCTGTGGCCCTCAGTAACAATTCTGTGTCTGTCCGAGTAACAATTCTGTGGCCCTAACTAACGTTTCTGTGGCCCTAAGTAACAGTTCTGTGGCCCTCAGTTACAATTCTGTCTGTCCCTGAGTAACAATTCTGTGGCCCTAAACTAACGTTTCTGTGGCCCTAAGTAACAGTTCTGTGGCCCTCAGTAACAATTCTGTGTCTGTCCCTGAGTAACAATTCTGTGGCCCTATCTAACGTTTCTGTGGCCCTAAGTAACAATTCTCTGGCACTCAGTAACAATTCTGTCTGTCCCTGAGTAACAATTCTGTGGCCCTAACTAACGTTTCTGTGGCCCTAAGTAACAGTTCTGTGGCCCTCAGTAACAATTCTGTGTGTCTGTCCCTGAGTAACAATTCTGTGGCCCTAACTAACGTTTCTGTGGCCCTAAGTAACAATTCTCTGGCACTCAGTAACAATTCTGTCTGTCCCTGAGTAACAATTCTGTGGCCCTAATAACGTTTTCTGTGGCCCTAAGTAACAGTTCTGTGGCCCTCAGTAACAATTCTGTGTCTGTCCCTGAGTAACAATTCTGTTGCCCTAACTAACGTTTCTGTGGCCCTAAGTAACAATTCTCTGGCACTCAGTAACAATTCTGTCTGTCCCTGAGTAACAATTCTGTGGCCCTAACTAGCGTTTCTTTGGCCCTAAGTAACGATTCTGTGGCCCTCATTAACAATTCTGTGTCCCTGAGTAATGCTTCTCTGTCCCTAAGTAACGTTTCTCTGTCCCCAAGTAACGTTTCTGTGGCCCTAACTCTGTCCCTAATACAGAGCGGTCTGCCTCTCTTGAATGACTGGAGGCAAATGAAGAATTCTAAAATGGCCGCTATTTATAGCTCGACCATTACACAGTGCTGGCTGGCTGGCTGCTGATTGGCTAATGCGATCACATGTCATTAAGGAATGCATTATGGGTCAGCGCGCCTTGTCTGCGCGCCTTCCCAGACATCCCCGCTCCGTCGCCGCACATGTCCGCCGCCATTTTAGGAAAAATTTAGATTCACGCGTCCGAAGTAGGCTATTTTTCGGATTCGGCGCGAATCGAAAATTTTCCAATATTAGACTCGAATTCCACTTTGCCTACTTCGATTCGCTCATCTCTAATCACAACCCCCTCACCCTGATATTATTCCTTTTTCCTTTACTCAGTATTGTGGAGGGCGGGAGGAATGGCAGGGTTGACTCCTGTTCTGCATGTACTCGCAGGCGCTGCCATCGGCTCCAGTGCTGTTGAAGTCACAGCAGGGAAGAGGGCGGGAGGAATGGAAGGGAATCCTCTCCTGAATGTACTGACTTGCCCTGCCGCCACTGAACTCAGAGCAGGGAGAAGGGCAGAAGGCACAGAAGATCTCCACTGACTGCGTGAGCTGCCCAACTCTTCTTGTTAAAAGGGGAGTGACCTGCTTGTTAATATGAAAGGTTGGCTTCCCTCCCCTGCTCCCCCTGTAGACCTGCAGTGTCTCCTGCTCTCTCCCTGCTCTGAGATTAGCGGAGGCAGCAGCAAGCCGATACATTCAGAAGAGGATTGCTTTCTTCCATTCCTCCTCTTCCCTGCTGTGATTTCAACACCCTGTCATTCGATTTCAAACAGCTGCTAACTGGTGTGGCCGCAGTCCGAACAGGACTGTCACCCAGTCCATATTCGGACTGCGGTCCGCCATTTAGTGATGCCTGACCTATAGGAAAGTTATTATATTTACAAGTTTTAAACTTTTTTTTTACATTTCTTTAGTTGCTTCCTGGTTTCCAGGTCTAGGCAAATTATACAATAAATCCCAGGAGTCTTCAGCAAAGAAAGGTTTTCACAGCTAAGCGCACCTGCCTGCCTGAATGCCTGAGCTAAGGGCAGATGGATTCCAGGATGCCCTTACTCAAGATGGCCACAGTCAGAAATGCTAGGGGGTATTATTCAAAGTTATTTCTCAGCAAAATAAAGTATGGAGACATGAATGAATGGGTAAGTTTACTTAGAATATTAAAAATGAATTAAATAGCATTTTTTGTT